CCGAGTGAGATTACGGTACTGTCTCCCGCGCAGCCGGCCGCTGCCCTTCCCCGTGTTCTGTTCCTCTGCCCCCCGCGTCCACAGCAACCCCGAGCCGTTGATAGGGTCGCCTGCTCCCAAAGACTGGTGCTTTGCCAAAGAGCTCGGTTTTCTTAACCGTGGTTTCCATTCAAACCGTGGTTGCCATGCAAGCTCTGGTTTGTATGGAAAACTTAAGATCGACTCCTATTCAGAAGGGAAGTGGCGATCCCGGTACCGTGAGACCTGCCCTCTGCTGAACCCAGTGGTGTTTGGAGGTCCTAACTGTGAGCCCCCAGTAACCGGGTGTATGTGAGGGCATACAGGGGGACAGCCGCGTTTACAGTTCCCATGAATGGCAGTTGTGTTCTGAGTCCTCTGCTTCTCTGAGCCGACGTCCCTTCCCTGGCACCACACTGCGGGGGTCACAGCCCACAGCAACATTTCGGTGTGAAACCAGCCACCGTAGGAGGGCCTTCACGGTGAGCGGTCCCTCATCTAGAGCTCAGTGAATGAGAACTAGAGGCCGCATTTCCAGAATGCCCCCACTTTCTGTAGACCAAAGGTCAGACCTAGTGCTTAAATGACGTCCCAGCCCTTCTGTCGGGGCTCTGGCGGTTCCTTAGGGAGAAGATTGGAGGTGCTGGAAGTGACCTGCTCACTCGAGGAGGCTGGGCTGGGTAGAGATGGGCTTGGACGGGTTCGGTCCACACTGAGGCGGCTGCAGAGGTCAGAGCAAGCCCCCTGGTCCTCGAGGTGGGAGAGGGGAGCGCTGCAGCGGCAGTGGGCACATCCTGGAGTCCGGACCGGGGCTCAGCGGGTCTTACCACTTCCTGCCTAGCGAGCCTGACCCCTGGGCACGTCTGGGGGTGCGGGTTAGCACCAGAGAGGAGACTGTCCGCTCAGAATCGTAGAAGGCAAGTTGTAAAGGAGCGACCAGGCTCGTTCGTGCTTTCAGGCTGGGCGTGGGGTGGATGGACTCGTCCGCGTTTGGGAGAGCCCGCGTCTTCCCTCTGGAGGTGACCGCAGTGGGGGGGCTCCTGCGCTGGGCTCCTGTAATCGAAGAGTGGCCTCTCTGTACACGCCAGTGAAGGGAGCCACCTCCTATCCCCCGGCTCCGGGGGGCTGGCGTTTCCCAGGGCACACTGGCCAAGGTTGCTGTCATTCTGCGCTGTGGACCACGGTGGCTCTGGGCGTGACCATGTTCTGGGGGGCATCTTGTCATCCCTGATCATTTCAAACACATTGCCCAAAGAGGCCACATTTTAATCAGAAGAGCACAAATATGACTTTCTTTTCGGGTGGGCGTCTGTCCAGCTGCCTGGGGGATTTCCAGCACTATTCTGGTAAGCGTTGGCTGGGCGTCGGCCTGGCGTGGCTGTTCCCTGCCTGTGTTGCTTGGAAAGCTGTCCCCCTGCAAGGATTCCTCCGACAGAGGTCTCGTGCCCTGGGGCGGCTAGGCTACGGTGTCCTCCCGCCCGGCTGTGCCCTGTTCTCCCCTTCGTGCTCATCTGCCATCTCTCACCTGGTCCCGAGAGGTCCGGAGGGCATCAGTGTGGGTGACAATGGTGGCACATGCAGTGTGGAGAGTCCCCAATGGTCCTGGCACCATTGGAATCCCGGCCACAGCACCAGGTGCCCACAGTCACCCCTGAGTTTGCACTGCGTGGAGAGCTAAAGCCCAAGTGACCGTCCGGGCTCGCCCCACTGAGGTGGGGGCCTGGTTGACCCGGCTCTGTCTCGTTCCCAAGCGCACCCTCATCACGAAGCTAGCCGTGAAGGGACGAGCTGGACAGCAGACCTAGGACATGCGGCACAGATGTCGCGTCCTGTCCTGGAACACAGATCAAATGTGTTGCCATGTAGTCCGGGTATTCTGAGCAGCGGGTCTCAGAGGAGGCACCTGATAGCAAACGACCTCTCTGCACTCATGCTGCAGACGGAGCTGCTCGGGCCAGGGTCAGCTGGGGCAGGGCGATGTGGCTCGTGACGCTCGACACACGTGGGAGGGTCCCGGGTGTGCATCCGAGGGCTGGGGCGGGTACGCGTGTGTGTGTGATCCAGGCTGGGGTGGATGTGGTGTGAAGGGCATACCTGTCATAAGTACCCCCTTTATTTCTCTTGGAAGAAATAAATACGCTTTGAGGGGAAAAAATGGCAAAAAGAGGCGCTGTTTTTTGTGGCCGTGTGAGCCCGGAGCGAAATGCCGGGCGGAAGCGGGAAGGAGCGCAGCAGCCCCCCGCCCGCCGGCCGACGCAGTGGCTGAGTCTCCGGGACCTTTCATGTTTTCGTGTCTTCTCGGGCCGGTGTCCAGACTCCCTGGGTATGCGGGTGCCCCAGGCCAGCTTCTGAGAGGTGAGCCTGCGCTCTCCTGTTGGCGCATCTGTGAGGTCCCACGTGTGCTTCTTGCAAGGATGTGTGACCGCAACGGCGGCCGGCGGCTTCGCCAGTGGCTGATTGAGCAGATCGACAGCAGCATGTACCCGGGGCTGATCTGGGAGAGCGACGAGAAGAACATGTTCCGGATCCCGTGGAAGCACGCCGGCAAGCAGGACTACAACCAGGAAGTGGACGCCTCCATCTTCAAGGTGCGCACCCCTCCTGTCCCTGTTGGGGCCTCCCCTCGTGGCGGGCAGCGGAGCTGGTGGTGTCTTCCTGCGTTCCTTAAGGATGAACGCAATAAAAATCCCGGATCGAGGGGCGCCAAACGCATCCCGTAACTGCTCACCAGGTGGCTGTATATCCGTTAAGTGGCTTCCTCTTTTCTGAGGTCAGGTGTGCTGATGGCATCTGTCTGAGGAGGGGGCTGGGGCACGTACCCGACCTGCTCCTCCGTCTTTCTCACGAGCACTAGCCAGTGGGGAGAGCAGGTGTCCTCGGCCCTGCCCCAGGTGACCACGGGGCCGTGCTAGCAGAGCTGAGTCTCGTCCGCTCCAAGCCGCTCCCTTCGCTTGGTAGCGTGGGGCAGCTCAGAAGAGCGAGAACACCTGCCATCACGCTAGGGCTGGTCCCAAGGGGTGTCCTGATGTCCCCAGAGTAGTCTCATCTCCCTCGAGGACAAAAGCACCCCAAGCGTGGAGAGACTTGCTGGTCAGCTGTCTACTCGCTACGAGGCAGCCATGGGGAGGGACACGTCCCCGTGCCAGGCCTGGGTCTGCACGTGCCCTGTCCTTTCCTCTCACACTGTCCTGTGCGGTAGATGCTGTTCTCAGCCTTGTCCTGTGCAGGCATCCAGCGGTGAAATGACCGAGGTCCAGGGCCTCGCAGGACTCACATGACGGAGCCAGGTTCGGCACTGGCAGCCCGTGGGGAGCAGTGGCTGAGCAGAGGGGGCAGGTGCCGAGGCCACAGCTGCAAGTCGAGGCTCAGTATATCGCTGGGTGGCCGTGGTGGCGGGGCCGAGCCACGAGGGTGCATGTCCTGCCTGTGGCTTGCTGATGGAGCTGCAGGCTTCTCCCTCCCTGCTCCCTGCTTCACCTTGTGCTCGGGGGCAGTGAAGTAAAGCCCCAGATCTGCACGTCTCATGCAGTGCTCTTCATGGCCGTTTCTGGAGCGCGGAGCCCAGGGCGCAAGGTCCCCAGTGCTTCCGTTGGTCACACAGTCATTTGATGTGGCAATCTGAGATGAGTCTACAATCTCAGCCGGAGTGGGGGTGGGGTGCTCAGTGCCCACCGGCAGCAGGGGCCCCCAGGGGACGGAGGCGAGGGTGTGGTACATCAGGCCCAATGCAGGCTGCCCCTAGCTGGGCAGTCTGGGCTGCTGCTCACGTCTGTGCTCTGGGAGGCGTTTCTGTGCGACAGCTTCGCTGTTGGAGGCCGTCAGCGGTGCGGCCCTGGCTGGGCGGAGCTGCTGGGGGCTTTTCTGGTAACTGGTTCTGTGTAAATATCCAGAGAATACCTGTCAAAATTTAGGAGCTAGGGAAAAAACACAGGCGTCTGCCTTCCTGCCTCAGTGAGCTGATGGTAAGAAGCTGCTCTTGCCAAGGGCCCCTTCACTGCAGGCGTCGCTGGAGGCCAGCGCATGGTGCAGACCGCGGACGGGGAGGGGCAAGAATCGTGTCTGGCTTCCCACCTTCCCCACGCATCCTGCCAAGGCCCTGGGAACCTCATATTTATTTAAAAAACGTAATTTGCTTCCTTTTCTTGAAGATGGGGTGTTGTGATTCATTGGCCTCCCACTGACCAGGCGTTGTAGGAGGCTCAGTGGATTAAGCTCACCTACTAGCATAGGTGTTTCACATTCAGTGGGCCTAGGACAAATAGCATTTTATTTTATTTATTTATTTATTTTTAAGAGAGATTTTTGCTCTAGGACTCATGTACTTGCCAGAGAGACAGAAAGAGACAGAGACAGAAAGCGAGAAATCGTCCCTGGGAAGATGGTCATGCTATATTCCCTTCTCCTCCATTCTCCTCTTGGGATTTTGGGCACACATGCACACGTGCCTGGAGTGAGTTTTAAGCCACTGGGTCCAGGACTCGAACTGTGGTCCACTAAGTGGTAGTCCAGTGACATAGTCATTACGCTGTCTGCTGGTCCTAAGCATTCGATTTTAAAACATGATACAAGCCGATGATGCCAAAGTGACGACGCCGTGGTCCAGGGCTTAGTGCAAAGCTGCAACCGTGGCAGGGGAGAGATGCCGTGGTGGAGGCCGAGCTTGCCCACGTGGCTCTCTGCACGGGGCCTTGGGCTCATTTTCGGCTAGGCTGACTCTGGCTTGAGCCATCTTGCAAGACTACCCTGCTGGGGTGATTTCCTGGAACCAGCCAGAGAGGCACGAGAGGGCTAGGTGTGCTCCACTGTAGCCAGGGCCGCTGCCGGCGTCCGGCCCCCTCTGCCGGTGTCCGGCCCTGGGGCCCCAGTGCCGAGGTGAAGATGTGAACGTTCGGAGTGACCGGTCAGTGAGTATGTGGTTTGCAGCGACAGCAACGGGCAGGGTCAGCGACACGACAGTGAAGCGGCGCAGGAAGCCTGTGACTGACAGTTTCTGAAGCAGCGTCAGGAGCAGCTGCCGCACAGGCCCGCAGCGGGATGCTCCCAGCCTCTGTCCCAAGGGCGGGTGCACAGCTCCGCGTCAGTGACCCGGGTACAGGGTACAGAGCTTCAGCCTCGGACTCCAAACGTTCTCCCCTTTTTCTGAGAAAGGGAGGAAAGCCAGGGCTGTTTCGGAGGGGCGGTGACGCGCGGGTTATGCAGCCCTGGCCACCTGAGCAGACTCACTGGCTGCTGGCTGCTGTGCCGGTTCCCAGGCTGTCCTTCGGCCTGTACCAGAAGCCTGGGGATGGTGGAAGGGCGAGTGTGAGCCTGTGTCTACACAAGCTCCCCCCTTGCCAGCCCGTGTCGTGGTGGGAGTCTGCAGGGCGGGAGTGAGCACAGCCTGTGTTTAACCCCACCCTGGGTTACCAGGAAGGTTATTCTCTGGAGTGGCTTTTCGGGAGTGGATGGAGCGCCCCTCCCATCGGGCAGAAGACACTCCAGTTTTGCCTGAAATCAGCTGTGACCCCCCGATAGCAGTCACCTTCCGAGGTGTGTCTTTCCAATGTTGGAATCATACGAACGCCCACTTACGTGTTTAATGCCGCCCAGTCTACACTTTGACTTTTAAGTTTGTAGCTTTGAATGTCTGTTCTGAGTTTAGATCCTAAAGTCTGTAGAGGTGGAAAAAAAAAATAGTTTTAAACCTGCCCCCCGAAACCAACGGAGGGTTCATTACATTTGAAGTAGCGCTGGGCTGTGGGGGGTAAACGTGAAAGTGCAGAGCCCAGTGCACTCACAGCGGCGGCCAGGCCGGCCTGGACTTTCTGCAGATGGCCCGTCTCCATGCGAGCCCCGCAGCCGTTCCAGAGGGTAGCAGCATGTTCTTCGTTTCCAGGGTTCCCGTGAAACCCTGCAGAGCTTCCTCTTGCTCTGCTCCACATAGGCGCTCTGGGCCCTTTTTTTGCTAAACAGCACGCCTAAGGGTGTGTGGGAGAAGCCTTGGGTCTGCCTCTGCTGGGTGATCTTGGGGGACCCCTTGCCTAGCCTTGGTCTTCTCATGTCTGGTGAAGAAAACGGTCTGATTGAAGTTCTTGGTGTCCTGAAATCAGGTGAGGGTGGACGGCTGACAGTCTCCCAGTAGGGAAGGCGGTGCCAGGTCCTGGTGGACCGTGGCCGTGGGGATTACTTGGTTGGGGCCTGGCCACATGTTTCAAGTCTTCTGTCTCTTCCTCCAGGCCTGGGCAGTCTTTAAGGGGAAGTTTAAAGAAGGGGACAAAGCTGAACCAGCCACTTGGAAGACGAGGTTACGCTGTGCTTTGAACAAGAGCCCAGATTTTGAGGAAGTGACAGACCGGTCCCAGCTGGACATTTCTGAGCCATACAAAGTTTACCGAATCGTCCCCGAGGAAGAGCAAAAATGTAACTATCCTTTATGGGCCCCCAGCTTTCTAGAAGCTGGGCTGGCCTCCCGGGAGGGCTCGGGTTTGGGTGACGTCACTGCCCACAGGGTCTGGGACACATGGTTTTGTTACACAGGAGAGGGCTCTTTCCGCTGACCTCGCTCCGCATCGCTGTCCAAGTGGCAGCTTCCCGTTGAGGGTGTGGTGGTGGTGGACGGAGGGAAGGGTGGAGCAGGCTGGGTCGGGGCCAGTCTACTGCCCGCTTGTGCCAGACCACGGCCGTGTGGATGACCTGCCTGAGCTCAGTAATGTGGAGACGGGGCCCTACAGCAGTTTCTGATGAGGAATGCCTTCTGTATTCCAGTGACTCTCAGAGGAGGCGGGGGGAAACGTGGCCGAGAAGGAAGGGTTGGATCAGGAGGGTCGAGAGCAGTTCTCAAACGAAGTGCAGAAGGTGACAGCCTTGGCTTTGCAGCTGCAGACGGGCCATGCCTCGATACAGCATGAGGCTGGTCGTCGTCTGTCTGCAGCTCTAGAATCCGGGGAAGTATGTGTGAGGGGGTTGGAACCTGCCACTTGTCCTCACTCCCCTTTGCACGCTCTGAGCAGACATCACTAGTCGATCAGAATGTATCGAGCTCAGATCTGTTCTCAGAATCCTTTTCACGGTAGACTGTGTGCAGCTGCTAGGAATCGGAGCTGGCTCATGGCGTGAATTTAATTGCCGTCACTGGTAACTGAAGCGTTCTTTAGCACTGACTTTTTTCAGCCTTCAGTGCAGCAGTTAGAATATTGCTAGTCATGGTTTTCTCTTTAGAAGCTTATTAGTAATCCAGTAACGCCTGAAAGAAACAGAACTCCTAAAAACTTCTTAGGGCTGTGTACAACTCCTGGTCTGCACTCTCCCCATTGTGGGAGTGTCGGCACTGTCGATGTATAATTTAAAGAAAGTTAAATGATTCGAGGGCGTATACAATGACCCTACGTCGGGGCATGGCGTGCTCACCAGCGAGGGAGCCGGCAGGATGACTGAGACTGCTCCCTGAAGAAGCCGGTGTGTCCGGCCAGTGGGAAGTAGAAAGGCATGTTGAATCCAGCCCCCGTCTGCATGTTCTGCCGGCCACTTGCAGTGAGTACAGCAGATTAACACCTGCTTTGTCCAGCCCACATCCCAACGAGGAACAGTAAGCCCAAGCTGACCTTCCCCCGGAGAAGGAGAAGGCCCCAGGGCAGCCTTCCAGAGCACTCCTGGCCTGGGTCTTTCTGCCGTGTTTTACAGTGTGGCTAATTTTCATCAGCAAAAAGTGAACTGTGATGTGAAGGGACAGGGAAGTCTCTCGACCTCCCCCACCCCCGCGCAGGCCAGCCAAGCTCGAACTGGCAGGTGACCCCAAGTTGTTTATAGCACAGGGCGTGGCCGGCACCACCTCGAGTGTCTCAGAGGATGTCAGGGAGGCAGCAGGCAGGTTCTCAGGGGGCCCACATGGCATTTGCACAGTGTCCATGGGCCCATTCTCTGTCCTTGCGAGCTACACGGGCTGCCTGCCTGCCCCTGCTTCCCTGCTTCCCAGCTTCTAAGTGAATGCTGGGTCCGCAATGGCGTGAAAGCCCAGTCTGGATGACACGATGGGCAGATGCCGTCCTCACTGGAGCCGTGGGTTCCAGGAAGTGTCCGTCGGCTGTGAAGCGTCTCACACCGCTGAACGCGATCAGAGGAGTTTCTGAGGAGGGAAGAGGCGTGACGGGAGCACCAGGACGGGTCTGCATGCTCGCTGAGACGCCGTGCCCCTTCAGCGGTCCCTGACTGAGTACCTGGTGTGCATGTGCATGCCTGTGTGCACAGAGGCATGTGTGTGCATTTGAAAAGGCCTAGAAGAGATTTCCCGCCAAGTGGCTTTGAAGAAACAGACCCCAGCCCGCCAACACGTCTCACTGGGGGCGCTTCGAGCATGCTCGGAGGCCCAGCGTGTGCGTCACCTGCGTTGGCAGTGGACGCGGCTGGAGTGTGTGGGACACGGGCTCACTCTGGATCCCGGCGAGCAGGGGGACGGGCCGAAGTGCTGTGTTTTCCCATCACGGTGTTAGCACAGACACCAGCAGCAGCCACTTCTCCCTCTGACATCGCTGGTGGGAAAACACTTGTACGCCGTTCCCAGGCCGGAGCAGCGCTGACCCTTATTTCCTTAAACTCCGCACTTAAAGAGAAAGCTGGCCTCAGCGCCCTGTGTCAGCGTGTCTGTCTGGTTCACCGTAGGCAAGCTGGGTGCTGCACCTCCGAGCTGCGTGAACGAGGTCACGGAGATGGAGTGCGGGCGCTCGGAAATCGACGAGCTGATCAAGGAGGTGAGTGGGGCTGCCCAGAGGCCGCGTGGCTCCTGGCAAGGAGGGCAGCATGTGTCCGCGGGGCAGGAGTCCGGGGCCTCGGGCTCTCCACCGGCACGGAGGTGGAGGGCAAGGGCGGGCTGGGCACCCTCACAGGCTGGCCCCTGCCACTGTCACCCCTCACAGAGTGTCCCCTCATCAGAGGGCCAGGCCCAGTGGCCTGCTCTGCATCAGCAAAGGTCCTTCTCCTTTAAGCTTCATCCTTTAGCATTTGAATGGTGACATTGCTGTCCTTTGTCCCTTTGTCACCTCAGGCAGCTCCCGGCAACAAAGGCAAGTCCCCTATCCTCAGGCTGGTCCTTGTGACATGGGTCACTGCTCTAGCCCTCATGGCTTCTGGCTGGCTGATTATTATTTTTGAACACGTAGTGGGTTGGAAGCCAGGCAACCAAGCCGTTAGAATTGTACAGCTCACAGTGAATAGGCTGTACGTGAAGGAGTCTAATGTACTCTCCTTAGGCTAAACACACGGCTTTCGTCATGATCATTTTTATTTTTATTTTTTTAACTTCAGTCCTTTTATGAGAGTGAAAGAGAGAGGCCTCAGTAGGGTCTTCATGCACTGACCCTCCCCGGTGGCAGCCAGCCCAAGTCAAAGGCACACCCATGCATGCCCAGCACATCGGGGGTCCAGGACTCAAACCCAGGACCTCTGAGGTGGGCCCAGCTGTGCTACTGTGGCACCAGCGCCTGGCCCCCAAAACACATGGCTTTCGTACTCTAATTTTAATTGTTTGGTGCCCCTTCCTCCTGCCTTCATGAGCTTGGCGGGACAGAAATAACCTGCACTGCCATTGCAGTTGCAGAGGGCGGCGTGGGCCTGCGAATCCTTCTCAGTGACCCCAGGGCAGTGCCAAGGCCCTCGGGTAGGTGGACACCAGAACGCGGCCTGCTCCTGCCACCTGGCTCTGCCACGGATGGCAGCTGAGGGTTCTGGGTGGTCTTTGGCGGCACACCAGGGATCCCTTGGCTTCGTGTCCCTCTGACAGTGTCCTGCTCTGTTGGGTGCTTTCTGCTGACTCGGCGAAGACAGTGAGCTCATCAGATTGCCACACGGGGGTCACAAGGAAAGCAGATTTCAAAACGTTTCACGCCTGGATTTATCACTCCTTTAAGGAACGGGTCAGAGACTCACAGTCTGCTTGTGGCTCCGTCTGCTGGTGTCCCAGAGCTGTCCAGGTCCTGGGGGCACCGAGGCCACTCAGTCACCGGCAGCATTTGGTTTGCAACAGGCAGTTGCATGTGGAAGGCCGGTAAGAGGCCAGTAGTGGTTTGATGGCTCAGCTGGTGGGTTGAGAGTTTGGGGTCGCAGGCCACAAAGTCAGGCTGAGGTTCGCGTCACGGGGAGGCCACGCTGGACATAGGCTCGCACAGGATGTTCGCGTTTGCTGGCTCCGGTGCCTCTCCGACACCTCCGCCTGAGCCCTGTCCTCCCTCGCTCCGACCACACAGCCTTTGGTGGACGACTACATGGGGGTGATCAAAAGGAGCCCCTCACCCCCGGAGGCCTGTAGGAGCCAGCTCCTCCCAGACTGGTGGGCACAGCAGCCTGGCACAGGTGAGCACGGGGCCGGGTCACCGCCAGACACAGCCGCAGTGTCAGCTCTCGACAGCCAAGGGCAGGGGGGCACCCACTCCTGTTATGACCCATGCCTTATCGAAGGTAGCTGAGCCAAGAGGTGACAACATGTGGCCCTAATTTCCTACTGTGAGGGCAGACCCCCCATGACTCCACTACCTCCCACGGGCCACGCGTGGCTGGGTCTGTGCTGCGTGGCCACATCACGTCCACTCCCTATGTTCCCGAGAAGGCCAGGAAGAGGTCTAGCCAGCCTCTCAGCTCTTGGCTCACAGGCACCCTGCCTCCCAGGGCCCCACATTAGGTCCACCGGTCACTAACCACAGTAAGGACCCCTTCGAGCCAGAGCCAGCCCACTGGGAGGAGGGCTCAGACCAGGGCTGGGAAATGGCTTGGAGCCCTGGATTAGAATCCCACACTGAGACGTCTGTTGTAATCGAGCCTCAGTCTGCCCATCTATCAGAACGGAATAGCAGGACCTGGGGGCCACCAGGTTAAAGGAGGCATGCAGCCTGTCCTAGGCTCTGGGGCCCAGACGGCCCCGGCCAGGCTAGCCTTCTATAGCCGTGACACCTTGACTTCTGGCTGCCCCTCCCCGCCCACCTCCTGAGGGAGACCCAAGTGGCAGCTGGCCCGGCAGGCCTCAAGTGGCCAGGCCCAAGATGGGCCCCTGTCTGTGCTGGGGGCCCCTAGGACTGTTCCAGAGATAAGCCCTGGGTGGCGGGCCCACAGGCAGCCACGTGCGGGGCAGGCCCTGAGTGGAGGAAGTGCGGGCCCGCAGTGTCACACTGATGGGTCAGAAATCCCCCAGTGCGAGGAAGTCTCCCCCCACCCGGTGTGGCCAAGACCTGGTTTTCTGTGTTGGAGAACAGGTAACAAGTCTACGGCAAAAACACCAACTCAGTGAAAGCTGTGCAGGCCTCTGAGCAGACGCAGCCTTCGAAGAGACTTTGTGGGGGGCGTTTGAGTGGGTGGGCCCCCAGGCCCAGGGAAGGCCGGGCTAAGCTTGCCTGTGTGGTTCTCCTGCAGGTTTGTCGCTGGTGACGGGGTACGCTGCCTACGACGCACACCATGCAGGTACGGGCGCGGGCCGGAGACAAGCCGATGGCCTGGGTGGGCTTGCAGGGCTCCATGGCGAGCAACACCTGTCAGAAGCTGGGGACCCGATCCCCCTCCTCCCCGCTGGTTCGGGAGCAGCGAGGGGCCCGACCTTTTCAGGCCTTCCCTTGGACTGGACCCGCAGGTAGATGCAAAGCCGTCCTCTGAGGCCCAGCTGTGCAGGAGAAAGAGTGGGCCGCCCTGCCCCTCTGTGAGACCCCAGGGGAGAGAGCCGATCTCCCGGAACCTCAGGCCTCTCATCTGTCAGAGGGGAACAGCAGACACCTCCCTCTCTGGGGTGCTGTGAGGGAGGGTGACTGACAGTTTCCTGTTGGAATGCAATTGGGCAGTGGGCGTCCCCCACCAGTTTCCTCCCTGCCTCCTCACCCTGTGCTCACACGTGCTCCTGGAAGACCTGGGACTGTTCAGGGTGCACACCCATCCGTAGCTACAGTGGCATCGGGGCTCCAACTTTAGTGGCAGGGATGAGGTAGTGTGATGCGTGCCTGGGCAGGTGTGGGGAGCCGTGGCAGGTGGAGAGCCATGCGTGGGGCTGCTCAGTGTTAGCTGGCGGCCTAGGCTTGCAGACCCTGCCAGGCTTGGTTTTCCCGTTTTCCTGGCGAAGTTGGAGGTCCGGGCTGGTAAACAAAACCTCGTACATGTAGTGCTGGCAGCGACTCCCTACCACACCCTGAGCTCGCACGTGGCTGCGTCTGCTGCGTGCGCACCACAGGTATGTGAGAGCGCCAAGCCAACAGCGGGGCTGGGTGCTGACGACCAGGCGAGCCTGGCCCCCCAGCGGCTGCACCATCGGGGCACCTTAACCTGACCACGCTGCAGTTTCCTGACCTGGAAGGCGGGCATGCTAATAACCTCCCGGGGCGAGTGTGCCAGTGGCCCGGTCCTGGGGCAGTCCCCGTATGTATGGGTGGACCAGCAACTGGGTCAGGGCCGTGAGAGGCTGGGCTTGCAGGCAGCTGGAGTCCTGTTTCCTCGGTGACCAGCACAGTGCGGGCCCCACGGTCCCCACCATGGCCCAGAGACCAAGTACTCTCACCAGCTTCCTTCAGAATGAGAAGCCGAGGCACAGAGTGGTGAAGCCACTCACCCCAGGTCACACAGCTGGGATTGTGTGTCAGGCTGTCAGGCCACGGAGTCTGTGCCGCTGCTTCTGTGGTCAGGCCACAACGGGAGCTGGGCTGGGTGCAGTGGGCCCTTGGAACTGCAGAGGGGCTGACCTGGCTCCTCCACTAGGGGTCCCCACTGTGCCCCCTCCGCTGGGGGTCCCCACTGTGCCCGTCGGGTGTGCCCATCAGGTGCGGCAAGCCCTCGCTCAGGCCCTGCCCAGCTGGGGCGCAAACCTTCCTTCAGCCTATGGTGTCTCATGGCCGTGGTCACCGGGACATGCCTGCCTAGGTATCTCTGAAACACTTGCTGCTCCTGGCAAAGGCCCCAGTTCCCACGACCGAGAGGTGCTGGGACCAAGATAAGGCCCCGGGAATTACAGGGCAAAGGGCCACTGTGGTGAGAGTCACCTGGAGTGTTTCATTCACGGAATTAAGTTAGAAATGGCTTCCGGGTGAAGGGAGTGTAGCGTAAGGGTCTGGCGGGGCAGGACCGCACACGTGCAGGGGGAGGATGGGGCACGGGGACAAAGGGGACCACGGCTGCTGCCCCGGCTGGGTGACCCCGAAGTGCCCACGAGGGGCTAGTGCCTGCAGCCCTGACTCCCACTCCGGTGATCCCAGCGCCCAGTTGCTGCGTATGGCAGAAATGTGTCAGAACAGAAGCAAGCAGACGAGCAGAGCCCTTGGGAGGGTCCCTGCGCCGACACGTCCTCTTAGCTCGGCGCGCCCCAGGCTCCAGTCACATGGGCCTCACCTGCACAGTGGTCACCGCAGCCTGGACCCACCTGGGCTGCTGCGTCATGACTTTCCCAAACCTCCTTGAATTCTAAGACTTCCGTTTACTTGACATGGAAATGCGCTGTCGTGGTCCGTGCGAGGGAGACCGGCGTGGCCCGCTGTAGGCAGGGAGTCAGAGGTCAGGACAGAACCCGTGAGAGCCAGACGGGCTGGCGACTCCCGGCCAGGCCCACCGCTGCGGCCCCAGGCCCCAGGCCGCAGTTGGGTCGGTGCCTTGGTTCCGAAGGGCAGCCCCCAGGTTTTAGCTGTTACCGATCTCACAGCACACGGAGGCTGAGAGAGAAGTAATGTATCCTTAAGTTGAAAACAGGTGTCCTTCCGTCACGTGTCCCTGTGCCCGGTCACTCCGCGTGGGCACGTGTGGGAGCACGGCCGCGGCTGGAGTGTTTTCTGGCCTCTCCTGAGAAGTGCGGGCGCAGGTTTTGCAGTTTTCATCTCAGTTCCAGGAGCCTCCAGGGGCCGCACTCGGGCAGACACGTGCTCGCTAACTTGGCGTTCGCAGTTGGCCTCTCCCCTGTGAATGCAGGCGACAGCCCCGCTCTCAGCAGGGACACGCTTTACCCTCGGCACCGCCACCGCGCCCTCCCTGGAGCTCGCCCTGAGCAGAGCCCATCCTGGTCCACGCCGAGCCGCTGCCTGGCCTTGGCCGTGTGGTCATTCGCGCTGTTGGAATGTGGTTTCTAGAAGTGGTGGACGTCCGCGGAATTACCTGGAATGTCAGAGGGGCCTGGACACTCAGAAAACCAGGTCCCCTGCGTGGCTCGCGGGCCCCTCCCGGCGCTCACCTGCCCCTCTCGTCCACAGCCTTCTCCCAGATGGTGATCAGCTTCTACTACGGGGGGAAGCTGGTGGG